AAGGTGTCGTTCAGAATGTATTTCCAACCAATGCCCTTGGTGTTGAACGTATTGAACATTGAAGGTCTCTTTTACGTATCTATACATCTATATATATATGATATATGCATTGAGTTTGTGAAAACGTTTACAAGGTTGGTTATTAAGAATATTACCGATTTTCCAATTTTCATAATAGTTATATATTGGCAGTGTAGCAGTTTAGAAGTAATTAATGAACATTTTTACAAAGTTTCATAAAATTATTTCTGAGGCTGTTCCGTGCTAAAATACTGTCAATTGCAAACATGTGTTCAGAATCATTCTTGTACACTATTATCCTTTCTGGAAAAGCATTGAGAGAGTTTTTATACTATAAAAATATTAGATTTAAGAAGGGTTTCCTAGGGTATTCATGATATTATCACATGGAGAAATTTCTGCTATATATTGAATGATATCAAATAAGATACATTCTAACAAGTGAGAACAAAAATATTCCTTCAGAAATGTTTGTGTATAACGTCCATTTACCGGTCTGGCTGGCCTCTCTGTAGTAACTACTTTAGCAGTTAAGTTTGATAGGAATCATTCCTGCTAAATTAAGGCAGTAGAACATATTAGCAAATTTGCAACATTTCGTTAAGAAAAATGTCAAGCTTCATGAAAAGCAAGTGCACAAAAATAAATATAAAAATTGCCTGAATATTTAAAGATATATTCTAACCTCGTTATATAAAACGGTGAAATTTATAGCTTTTCTATTTATGACATAATCCATATTCCATTCTCTGTTTCGCTGGCCTCATATAATTGCAGAGAAAACTTTTTAATATTTATGAATTTATCATAAATTCATAAAAATGGCACTAACTGTCATTTCCGAGAATTTTTCTAATGATGCTAAATGATTTCAAAACATTATGTGTATTGGAATCTATTTCAAAGTGAATTCACATAATGTACAGTAGAACATTGCTCAAACGCTGTTTGGTTGCTTTAGAAAAATTCAATACGAATTTGGTTATACGATCGTAATCTAAAATTACACTGTCTTATGTAACGCAATTATCAGGTCTGGGTTTTATTCGTTAAATAACTATTTAATATAATCTAGTCTGGTATAAGAAAAGTGTCAGTTTGGTTTTCTAAGATCTGAAAGGGAAAATTGTATATTTGAGTGTTATTGAATCGGTAGCCAGAAGGAAAGCCTTGATTGTTTCACGCCTATATGATCTTCCATACAAAGATAATGAGTGTATGATGAATGACTACAACCATACAGTGCTGTTAACTTGGGAGGGTAATATGGATCTGCAACTTATAGAAGAGAAGTCAACGATTATAAATTGATATATTACAAACTATACAACTAAAGCAGAAACAAGTTGGGAAAGTACTGCATTTACTGGGCTAGCCTCCACTAGGCAGTCGTTTATGGAATGTTGAACTAACGAGCCTTTCTCATCGAGAATGTGGTGCTCTGGAAGCTAGTGACACGTTAAAGTGGCTTACTACTGTATAACACAGATCCAGGTACTATATTGTGATGGGCTGACGTAAACTTGGTTTGCAGTCGTAGAGCACCACATTATAACTGGTTGTCTGAGGATTCTAAAGATCTATTTTATCTTTCTCGGGTTAATACTTATTATCCCAACAAACCACTTGAAGTTGAGGATCTATATGATATTCTAGCTTGGTATGACATTGTGAACAATCATCCCAGTGATAATTCTACATTTTATTTTATGTTTGATCACTTATTTAAAAAAGGATACAGCCATACATACTCAACCATTATTCACCGACTACTGATGCCGCCAGTGGAACATGGAAAGATACCACAATATCAGCCGATGTCTGATGACGTCCTGAAAATTGGGCATTAAAAGTTATGTAATGTTACGATAATCATCATTGACGAGATATCCATGGTCGGTATTGTGACTTTAATGTGCAGAGTCTTACAGAGATTTTGCAAACTGAGGAAGTTGAAGATAGATGTTTTGGTTGACAAAACTTAATGATTTTAGAGGATCTTTTACAGCCACTCCAATGCTTGAAGGTCTGGTAGTGGTAAGGTAAGACTAATATCAACTCTGTGCCAAGTGGTTTAATTAAAGTAGGAGATAGTTTGTTGGAAATGAAATCAAGTGTGCATTACAGGTAAAACAAGAAGGCTGCTGTTGGTTATATACGTGTCATTTCAGTGAATGGAAAACGGATTAATTCCGATGATCAAACTTTAACAACTACATCTTAACCAAAAGGGGCAAAATACTCGTTCTTGGCTTTTATGAGACACTTCTAGTATTGGCACGGACTCTTATCAATAAGTACAAAGTGTGTTAATTTGTATAATGTAGAATTGCCAGTGATCAATGTTTTAAAGAAGGTTAATAGCAACTTTAAAAACATAATTTGCAGCATCAGTTAACTGTGGAAAATAAGGCACACATAAAACGAAAATTGTGTACTTCAGAATGATCACACTAGCGATCGAAACATACTGTAAAAGCTGTAATTTGCAACTTAGAATAATTGTTACATTGTGGACATCTTTTCCCAGCTGGTGAAGCGTGATTATAATACATTATATCTGTTACAAAGCATTAGTATTAAGCTTATTATAATTTTAACACTGCATTCTTTATTTAATCAATCTCTTAGGGTTCTTCATGAAGAAGAGTGTATAACATTATTTCAACTGTACAACAACTGTAGTTCATAAACGTTCTTTTTTCGGTTCCCTGCTGTTATTAAACAGAACCACACTAATTATTTCATAAAACAAGCTGGAAGAACAAATGCACAAATTTACACAACAAATCGTAAGTTAGGCTTTCCCCTATTACAGTTATGTTCTCTCGTAAAGCCAGTAGAAAATTAAACCATTTCTGTGACAAAATCGCGTCTCTTTCATTCTTTATGTCCAATTTCTTTCAGTGTATTCATTAAGAAAACGAACTGTCAAATATATAGTTAACATAAGGCAACAACAACGTTTCCAAATTCCCTGAAACACAACACCCGAAACATATAAACCCCTTACAAAGTGACGTATCTTTTTCAAAAAAAAACAACATATGTCACGAAAAACTGCGAAATTTAGTTTATTATTTTTAGAGACATTTGGATTTGTGATAAATACTGCGTGAGTCTAACACCGAGACAAAGATCCAATATATTAACCCGACATCACTAAATACATGTTACTTTGTTGCAGGCATATGGAGATTAATGCTCAAGGCCCTCGGAAAGATGTTTCACAACTCAAGTTGTGCGTTATACCAGAAGTTTTCGCCGTGCTGAATAACTTAATTTAGCTGGCAGATTAGTTGAGCAGCTTAGAGCTGCTAATCTCTGGGAGTTAACTGTTATAGAATGAAAGAGAGAGAGAGTTATAGAAACATTTAATTAGTAAGCTATGAGCTCGTGATCAATGTTCCTTTTGAAGGCTTTTTTCTTTTTCATTTCAAGTTTCATATATTGTCAGATTCCTTTCAGGAAGTATAAATACCAAGGATACTTCTTCATGATTTAGAAGTGTTTCAAATTTAAGTCTTTGGACTCAGGCTTCTTCTGAAAAATTATTGGTGTCGTTCTAGTTAGCATTCTCATAGTACGCATAATGTTGGCTGCAGAAATCAGCAATCCTTTCACAAGCTTCTTGTATCTGTTCTTCTGGAACAGTCAACACGATCCGCATGAAGTCCGGGTAGTTAAAGCACTGAGCATAAAATAAATACACATATATATATATATATATCTACAATCAATGACTGGTAGTAGCCAATCAGTAAATATTGCATTGATAATCAAAGTATATCTTATCCAGTAAATTCATTAACAGAAACCACCAAGAAAAAAAATTAGATGCTAACTAACACATTTTTTTATGAATTAACTAGAGAAAATACCCGGCTTTACACAGGTTATTAGGTTGATATATTTTTGCAAATGCATAAACTTTATCATGAAAGTAAAGATATTGATCCAATTTTAAATTTAAATTGTTTCTGAAATAAGGTTTTTTTCTGTTTAATACCAACGTTTTCAATAAATATAGACCTCTATGTTAATCAACAGAGACTCTAAGTTTGAAAACAGCATATATTTGTTTTCCTTTTTGTAGTTTTTACACTTGATTTTATACCTTCAGCACGCACGTAGATAAGGGAAGTGATATGCAGGTGCACACCCTCCGTATGGGTGCAAACTTTCAGGTATCTAGGTTCTTTCCCCTTGTAGCTATGGCGGTCACACTTCTTTTCTATGTGGTTTTTCGCTAGCTTACCTCATTATAAAGATGCGCGCACGCAAGTGGATAAGGAATAATACTTAGGTGCAAACCCTCAGAGTCTACTTAGTATCTGTGCAAAATTTCAGGTTTCTAGGTTCTTCCCTCTTGGACTAATGGCGGTCACACACACAGACACGCCCTTTTATTGTTACAGATAAACAACAATTAACTGAAGGCTATAAATATCGACTACAAACTTTGGATGAATAAAATTATTGGTGTCTAACATTTCGGCTTAAGCCTTTCGAAATTTCCGGTTTTGTACATGTTGACATTTAGTCTTTAATAAAAGGCTTTTTGCTGGGAACGAACTAATAATTTAATCATTTAGTTGTATTTTCTTATATTAAATGAGATTGTTTTGCAAATTTTATTAAATCTTATTTTTCCCTTATTCATCTGGTGGGACAATTGTAAGCTTAGCAACTTACAATGCTAAAATCCGAGGTTTGATTCCCTACGGTGAACATAGCAGATAGCCTAATGTGTTTTTTCTCTAAAATAACCAACCAACAAGCCTTATTCATCATATACACAAGCTATAATTTTTTTAAAGCTTTTCTAACATCATCTTCCAATAAAACAACATGATGATGATAATTAGTTTCAGTTTAGTGTAACCTACAATAATAGTCTTGACTAGAATATACGATGAATCAGTTCACGAAAGTTTCATGAATTCGAAGGACAAGGAGTGAACTTAGGAAGTACAAAAGTGACATCAGGGTCAGTCGAGAATTTAAAAAAATGAACAAAATGTATCCCATAAAATTTAGAATTAATTGCAATTATTTTTATTTTCTTAAAAGAAAACGCGTATGTAGGGCCTTTCAAATCTTACTGAAGTGGGAGTTTCCTAAGCGTGAGCTATTGCAGATAACGAACTTAACCTATGAGTAAGATCGTTATTATACGTCGATATACCATCTTAGACAACATAAAAGATTGTATGCAACTTTTTTCCAAATTTAATATTTACATAAAAATAAAAATCAATTTAATCTTTTCAAAAAATCCTCTAATCTCATCTTGGAGCAAAGAAATCCTAAAATATTGGTTTGTTTGTTTGAAGTTAAGCACAAAGCTACACAATGGGCTATCTGTGCTCTGCCCACCACGAGTATCGAAACTCGGTTTCTATCGTTGTAAGTCCGCAGGCCTACAGCTGTGGCACTGAGGGGGGGGGGGCTTAATGTATTGGAGCAAAGCAATCCTAATATCATATTATACTTAAACATTTCACTCTAACCCAACGAAAAAGTTCGTTATGTATGTAGACATACCACCTTAACCAATGAAAAAAGTCGTTCTATACGTAAACAGTTTGATTTGAAAACTAATGTCTAAAACATACTAACTAAATCTATTTCGACTTTTTATAACTAAGTTAAGAAAAAAATGACTGGTATTATTTCAAAATACGCCACCTACCGTTCCTGGAAGACAAAACACAGATTGCTCACTGACCATGCGTTTGACAAACTCTAGATCACTTTTAAACTCCCCAAACCGATCCATATCGATGCCCACCTGAAATGACAAAATAAAATCATGTAAACAATTATGTCAGATGTTAATCAATACACGTGGAGAATAACGTGCATAAAACACTAAAAGAAACCAAAATTGTAGCACTACAGTGCTAACGCTTACCGTTGAGCCATCGGAGGGCATTTATTTTGTCAATAAATGGTGTTTTCCGCTTGTGTACATGAAAACAAGTTATACAGATAACTGCAATAGTTATGGTCAAAAGTAAAAGTAGAATAAACCTGTTTTATTTCCCCAAGAACCTGGCAAACTGAGAGTCGCAGGTTCGAATCCCCGTTACCAAACGTGCTCGCCTTTTCAGCCGAAGGAGTGTTATAACGTGACAGTCACTACCACTATTCTTTGTCAAAAGAATAGAGCAAGTCTAGTCAATCACTGCTAAATTAGGAACGGCTAGCGCAGATTTCCATCTTGTCGCTTTACGAGAAATTCAAAACAAATCCATTCTTCATATTATACTATGAATTATGTGCACTAAACAAGTACTACGATGCTCGTGTTCACTTCTACTCATTGATTTTAATTACATTCATTTGAATACACCTATAGGCTAATTCTCCACTCCATACTCCCCCACGCAATATCATGGTTGATTGAAAAGTTTTTCTTCTTCTTTTCAAACAAATCTACAACAACTATCGTGTTAATCTTTAAATATAAATATTATATTCACATGATATGGTAATGGCTATTTCCTTCCATTCATTTGTTCTATTTTTATGGAAGTCTTCATTATCTTTCATCATAATAAAAAAACAAAAGTTGTCGACAACTGTGGCTTGGATCTATAAATTTATCGTAATTGGTTTCGAATGTTATCACGCAACAAGTAACTTTCTTTTTTCACGAAAAGTTTTTAGTCTTTTTCTGACACATGAATACAATGAGGACTTTAAGGAAAGTAATACTGAATCATCAAGTCCAAGTGGTATGAAACGTACTATCATGTACATTGCTCCAGCTGGCATAATGGGGTTCAGGCCTGGGACCTTGGAAAGAATTGTGTAGGATTTTTCAGCATTTCTCTGTAGAAAGAATAGAAGGAAAATGTTGTCATGTTTCTGATCTAAGTTAGTGCATAGTATTTTTAACATTTAACTTTAAAAATATGAATACATGATTCTGATTTATTCCGCATTTTTCATATAATAAGTAATTCATAAACAACACAAATAGAACTACATTTACAAATAAGAACACTGGAGTTTCATTTATTCCATATTTTTTATATGATAAATAAATCATCAATAAAACAAACTGGATTTAAAGTCAGGTTTTTACGTATGTGTAGTTCAATTGTCGCAAATTGGCGATTGTTGTATTATTTCGTCATGTTACTAGAACATTCTAAGTTTTTCTCTAGTATTATTATATCATGTTATCTCGTGATGTATAGAACTTTCTAGGCCTCGGTTAGGCTATTTATAAATATGCGTCTAAAATGTAGTTCAAGTTAGAAAAACTTAGTGAAAGATATCTTAAAATAAATCTAGACATAAAGAGCGTATAATGGCACTTTTTAAAGCGAAATTATCTCAGATTGTATTGTAATAACAGAGTAGAGAAGAATAATTGGTCTTGTCAATTGTGTTATAAATTAACCGAACCAGCCAGTGTGGACTTTGATGAGAAGAGACGATTATTTAAAGCTCTGGAGACATCAGTGGTAATTAACTGTGTAATGAACATTTGTATGTACGTTTGTATCATTTTAAAACAAGAGGACTGTGTGCTGTTTGTTTATTGTCGAAATTTATCTCCAAGAAGTCACAGACACCTATTTTAAAGAATCCGGCCACCACATATAAAAACATGACAAATATTCAGCACACAAGTTAACTTATTCTGATGGGAGACAAATAATTAACAGTCTGTTTATTTGTTTGAGTTTAAGCGAAAATTTACGCAATACACTATTTCGCAATTCCTTCAACGGTTACCAAAACCTAGGTTTCATAACATTATAAGTTTTGAAGCTTACTGTAGAGACACTTACATTATTATATATTTATTCTTCATTGAGTTATCCTATATAGAATCATCCAAACAGTAGGTTATTTAATATGCAGTTAATATTTTTAATTAGTTATATATATACAAAATTTAAATGACATTGATTACAATATCCCAAAACTACCTATTAATATACATTGTTTATAAACTTAGTAACAGCCACACTTATAGTTCTACACAGTAGAATGATAATTGTATTATAATATATTAAAAAAATACGTTGTCTTGTAACATAAAATATAATTTCAATAATTGTAATTTTATTATAAGTTACAAAATTTCGTTGACATTTTCAGTTAAACTTTTTCTTCACTAAATCATGTATTTTCACATTTTCATCCTTATTATTTCTACTTAACCCTCCCCTCTCCCCCAAAAAAGTATATATATATATAACTTACCCTAACACACTCAATGGTTTCGTTGTAAAATTGTTGAGACGTTTCCTTCAGGATTGTAGGAAGCGCCCCCTGGATTAATGTACACGGTCCCATGATCTTCTGACTAAGTGACTGTAAACCCTTTCGTATCTATAATAGCAAAGTATTGCTAATAGAGTAATTGTTACTTATGTAAAATGTTTTAAGGATGGCACATGAAAAACAAAAATGTACATATGTCATATTTAAAAAATAACAACAATGATTACTAGATGCAAAATATATAACCGAATTTCAAATTAGTAGACGTATGGAGGTTCTGAGATGTCACGTTTCTCTGATATAACGTTCCGACTGTGACTAGTGTACATTATAAGCACATGCGATGGTGTGGCTGTTTCTGCTGTTGTTTTTCTTGGCAAAAAGCCACACAATGGGTGATCTGCGATTCGTACACTACGGGGAATCGAACACCGGATTTTAGTGTTTACCCACTAGTGCAGCATTTGAGGAATATTATTTTTATCATACATCAAGTGATAAAAAGATAAATCGCAAAGAAATTTCCAAATACAATTTCGTCAGTTTTTGGTTCACGTCTTCGGTTTCTAATGTCAAAAAGTTATTTCGATGCAATCATCCTCAAGAGTTTAGTGTGTATGCCACCAGAGGGAAGCTTAAATTTAACACAACTCTAAATTTGTTTGTAATTTAGCACAAAGTTACACAATGGATTATCTGTAGTGTGCCCACCACGAGTATCGAGACCCGATTTCTAGCGTCATAAGTCCGAAGACTTACTTCTGAGCCGCTGGTAGATACACTGCAGACAGATATGATATTTAAATTGTAGATTTGTATGAGAGTAGAACAGTTGATTCAGCATAATCTAAATTATACTTTAATAAAGAAAACCTGGGTGTGTCTCAAGAGTAATACTGGCTGAATTCGTAATTTGTTCCATCAAGTTTTCTTTAAGGAAGAGAACAGGTTTTGTTAGCATTTCAACTGTTTCATCGGGGTGTCAGACAGGTTAGCAAAGTGATCCTCGAAGCCACAACGGCGACACAAGCGACGTATGGGAGAATATTTCTAAAATTTACATTGTCTTTCTCTTTTGAAATATTTTTTATCTTTGTTAGTAAAAATTCGTAAATTATTTAATAATTTGATCTGTAAGAATTGCTATTTGTATGACACGAACACATTTTAACACCCTTACAAAATTAATTTAAAGAAAAACGAAAATTTAAGAGAATTACAGATATTTAAACAGTCCCTGATTCCAGGATAACCCCTAAGTAAGAAGGGAATAACTGTAGAGATATCTAATATATATAAACATATATTAAAACCATAGTTATTATCTGAGGTTAATAACAAGGGCTCCAAAACTGTAAAAGCAGCATAACTCAGTAAGAAGTTATAAATTAAATGCCAGACTGGGCTTCACATGTATTTCTTATATAGTTGGACAGCTTATCTATCTAAATAACACACAAAAATTAATTAATATAATCATATATAAATATTTTTAAATATATAACATGTTTGGTTAGAGATTTTTGAAAATTTAATCAAACAATTTATAAGCAAATTTTTATGAAAAGTTATACCTTCGTAAATATTTCCTTCACCATCAAATTCATTGCCTTTGTCATCACAATTGATAAATCACAGGGCCAGTCAGACATTTGACCATCTGGAATATGTCTCGAGAATCTGGCGAAGTTCATTTTATAAGCTTTTATTAAGAAGCATATTTTAACGTAATATAAATGTATACAGAATGTTTTCGTGAAATACTAAAAAAAGAATAAACATTCTTTACATTCTAATTGCTTTTAATATATGCACTCCAATAAATTTTAACACTGAAGTGGAAAGATTATTCGAGACGTTTATTGAAAAAAATCATTTCTTGGAAAGATGTCTTTATACATAATCAACGAAATTAAAAGATAACCTTCAGCATCAAAACCGATGATAAGCTACAAAATAACAGTTATAACATTATTATTTACACCATTCCTTTCGTTAAATATTTTAGTTATAATAATTATGATCTATTAATCTATGAAAACGCCTCTTTCAACACAACATCAATTCATGAATTATATGTAAACAACGAATATCAATAGAAACCCTTATTAGAATAAATTAGATCAGAGAAACAAAACGTGGAGTAGTTACGAAACTAAATTCGTGTAATCATTATCATTTAGTTGAAACAGGAAGAGAACCAGTATAAAATAACCTTCCTATGTTTCTCAGTATCAAAACAGAGCCAAACGTTGTATCTGACAATAAAGTTTCAATTATAACAAGAATATACAGTCAGATTAGACGAAAAACAGCTGAAACCTTCCGGTTCAAAACTGTGAAATTTACACTAAACAGATACACAGACACTCTATCTGTGTTAATATTTATTCTTTAACATATTTCTAATAATCATTAATTGTTATTTATTAATATCCCAAACAATCGAAAGAAATGAGATGCAAGAAGTCTACGAAAATAAAAAGAACACAATTCAAAATTGATGTAGTCTTGATGTACAAAGATCACTGGGATTTTTAGGCTAAGAAAAATAATTAAAATCAGACTTTATTACTGACATAACACGTTTTATAAATCACTTAAAACAAGTTAATTGTTTACAAATATTTCCCTGGTATGAAATGCTAATATATTTGAACGATTCCTACAATAAAGATGCGACACTTGCAATGCAACATGTTTATTACCTTTGTATTTGATTCATACTGTTTACAGATGAATTATAATTGGAAAGATTCATACATCGAGATTATTAAATGTTGTAGAATGAAGGAACGCAACAACTCGAAGAAAATCGCTTAGGTAGACAGTTAACTTTCAAACCAATCTTCATGCTAATCCTGAGAAAGGCGCCTTACCCGTAAAACGAAAATTATAATTACGAATAAAAAAAGCTGGGCACATCCCGTGACACTTTTTAGAAATATAATAAACAAAGAAGCTTTCATTCACACTTCGAAACTCTCGACTGTTTTCATGAAAAAAAACTGCTGAACAACTACACGACTTCATCATTTAACCACATTCCGGTCAAGCTTGCGGATGCAGCTTCGATGGTCTTTTGTGTTCAGGTCTGCTTAAATGTGGGTTTGTAAGCCAAATTCCATATACAGCTTACACGATGCTAACAGTGAAATACGAGCTACATTATGTTTAGATAAAGCTGATAGTGAAATACGAGTTACTTTATATTTAGACAATGCGGATAGTGAAATTCTGGTTACTTTATGTTTAGACAATTCCGACAATGAAATCCGGGTTACTTTATGTTGAGATAGTGCTGACAGTGAAATACGTGTTACCTTATGTTTATTTAATTTCTGTAGTGCATATTTGAATATAAAAGACATTTTAACACTAATAATAAAGGACTTTATAATAGCATTTTTGTAATTATTGTTACGCTTTACAGCTTCTTCAGGAACGTTCCACTATAACACAAACCGTAACTAAGAATAAGTCGCTGTGGATCTCTATTGTTCAAACTGCTAAATAAGACCAATTGTTTAAAATATATATCACTGAAATTAGCCGCATGACTGGGAGCATGACAGTTGTTTTGTACAAAAACGAACTTTGGAGTGTCATTTAATAACAGTAATTGTTATAAGTAGAACATAAAAAACGTATAACCTTTCTTTCAACTGTTTTGAGAGATGTAATTAATTCATCACATATGTAGAACTTAATGTTTGAAGAAAACTGAAATGCACTTTTACTAAATCCATTTAAAATCAATCAGGTAAAATAAATTTTATTACAAGGTTTGATATGGAAGGAACCATTAATATGGTAGATTTTCCATGACCACTTCTCCCGGAACTCCTAACATCTAGTGTTGTTCTTTTGTGTGTGTGTGTGGTTGTATTATAGTAGTAGTTATTGAAGAAATGCCAGTTTATAGGACTAAGACTGAGGAAATGACTGAAAATGGGGAAAATACCAAGAAACAAATGGAGTAGAAAGATATCGTGAACCAAGGAAATTTTTAAACAATGCTCAAGTTTTTAATCACTTTATATTCAGTTTAAGTAGAAAATCACAAATAACTGTCTTGAATTAACATGTTTATATCGTATTGCCCGCAATTAAAGCCCTCTCCCCGATATTCTTATGAAGCTTACCTTGTGTTACAGCAATAATAATCCAACATATAATCCTCTACTGTAATCCACTTTTATTACTGTAATTTTGACAGCAATAGTAATCCAACATATAATCCTCTACTGTAATCCACTTTTATTACAGTAATTTTGATTTGAAAAAAAGAAGAAAAACACACACGTACACACACTTATTAGCATTGAAATCAACAAATCACATGTGAAAAATAGAATCCGGAACTGCACAAATATTATAATTAGCGCCCTCCCTCTTTTGCAGTTTGTAATGCCCCGGGAGCGTTAATTTTAGGCAATGCATGTAAAAAAAAGAGAAAAATGTAAAACGTGGTTATTTGTACAATAACTGTGTTTAGTTTAGCATCTTACTATTACACTAGGAGAGCAAAAGTTTTCTTAATTCCGTAAAGTATGAAGTACTCTGTCAGAAGTATTTAATTATCAATCTTTATATAATTAAACTAATAGCAATGTTGAATACATACTTTACTAACAATGGTTCTTCCTGTTTGAAACTCTTTAAAAACAATATCGTATTCCTACAGTGACAGGAATGCTACCATGGTTGATATTACCTACTAGTAATACTGGAGAAGAGGGGATGCTTGGAGAACATATGTCACATTTCTCACACTAGGGAAAATTCAGGATTTTTTTCAATATTGCCTTATAAAATTAAGAACTTAAAACTTATATACAATTACAATATGGATTATTAGCTTCGATTTTATGCTATACTAATTGGTATAACATAAACAAAAAACAGTATTGAATATAACTTACTAAAACCTCGAGACATGTGCAGTAAATGATGTCCGGGTTATATGGTTACTGCTGCAACCAAAAGATAACTGAGTAACACATTTTGTTACAAGATGGCACCACCTACTTCCCGACAATTATTAATGTTTATTATTTACCACTGAGAGTCCTAGAAGAATTGTAAGAAGTGGAGAACTATTTCAT